AATTGGTTTTTTTTTTTTTTTTAAGATTTTATTTATATATTTGAGAGAGAGAGAATGAGAGACAGAGAGCACATGAGAGGGGGGAGGTCAGAGGGAGAAGCAGACTCCCTGCTGAGCAGGGAGCCCAACGCAGGACTCGATCCAGGGACTCCAGGATCATGACCTGAGCCGAAGGCAGTCGCCCAGGTGCCCCGCAAACAAAATTGTTAAGGAAAGGGGGGATAACAGGCAGTTAGTAGTTTGCCTCAGTGCTTGGTGGCAGAGTTTAAAGCTCATTGTATTTCAAAACTCTTTTAAAAAGATTTTTTTTTTTTAAGATTTTATTTATTTATTTGACAGAGAGATAGAGCCAGAGAGCACAAGTGGAGAGAATGGCAGAGGGAGAGGAGAAGCAGGCTTCCCGAGGAGCAGGGAGCCCGATGCGGGGCTCAGTCCCAGGACCCTGGGATCATGACCTGAGCCAAAGGCAGACGCTCAACGACTGAGCCACCCAGGCGCCCCTGTATTTCAAAACTCTTTAAGTGGTATTTGGAAGCAGGTCTGTCTTGAAAAAGGAATAAACTTGAGCAAGTGTTTAATATGCTTATTGGTGATGATTTTTATGTAAGATAGGTGAGGACACAAGGGATAGGATAGAGTGTAGTTCAAGTTTCTAGAATGTAGACTGAAGGTATACTGTGATAGTGGACAGAAATGTCTCGGAAGAGGAATGGGCAAAACCTTTGAAGTGAATAAATGAAATTACAGTTTTGTGAAATTTAGAGATGGTTAGAGAGAATGAGGAAATTGTGTGAGGATGACTATTTGGGATGAAGTGTATTGGTCCCTGTGATATAGCCTTGTTAATACGGTGTTCTGAAATTATCGCTTGGCGCTTGCTGATTCATCTGAGGTTATTCCATATCTTGTTTCTGAAGTTCTTTTGCTGTAACATGCTCATACATTATTTCTATAAATGTACTTTGTTAATAAAAGTATGGGAAACGTTTCTCTTGGCACATTTGATACATTTCTCAAGAATACATTAACATTCTCTCCACTAGCAGTTTCTAAAAAACCTATTATAAAAATATATTTACTTTATAAATTTCTATCGTTCTGAATTTAAAAAAAAATGTTCTTTGAAGGCCTGAAAAGAACAAATTTAATGTTGATGTGGCAGAATAGTCCTTATGTCTTGAATTTTCTTTTGAGGGCCACATTCTTTCTGAGGAAGGCACTGTATTCTTTAATATGCAGGAAAGATAAGATCTTTATGTAATTGTTATGTTAGAAAACCTTGTAAAAGACTTTAATACAGCAAGAATTTTAGAGTTGGAAGAAAATGCTAAAGATTTACTTGGTATATTGTCCTTTAAGGAAGGCACATCTTTGCTCTTATTCCTTTATCTAGCCAAACCCAGAGATGCCCACTGTGTTTAATTAAAAACTTTAAGGCTTTCTAATAAGAACTTTCAACCCACCCCTCACCCCTCACTCCACCTCACCCTGCCAAAAGTGATTCTTTCTTTTTTTTTTTTTTAAGATTTGATTTATTTATTTGAGAGAGAGAATGAGAGACAGAGAGCATGAGAGGGAGGAAGGTCAGAGGGAGAAGCAGGCTCCCCGCGGAGCAGGGAGCCCGATGCAGGACTCGATCCCGGGACTCCAGGATCATGACCTGAGCCGAAGGCAGTCGCTTAACCAACTGAGACACCCAGGCACCCGAGAAGTGATTCTTTCTTAATTCCAGATCTGTGAGGTACAAATGCTGTATGATTGGGCATTATAGAAAATACTGGTAGAAGTTTGCTAGAAACATTGAAACATATTTTACATAGATTGTGAGTCCACTAGGTGGAGTAGTTTTGTGATCTATATTTCAATGGTTACTGTGGTGCTGAGGAAATCCTTCTAAACTGTATCTCCATTTCTTTCAGAATTCCGACAGAGGGGGTTGGCTTCTAAAAAATGCTATGTCTTTTTGAAGTTCAGAAAGACTTTGAAATAAAAATACAGTGGTATGGCTTGTGTTGAAGCAGTTGTGGGTCAGTGCCAATAAAGAGGAATTGTGTTTTTATAGCGAATAGGCTTAGGGGAAAAGTCAATAAGTGGGTGGTGATTTGAGAGGGAGAGTCGATAATGTAACCAAAATGATATGTGCAAGGGTCAGATTTGGCACAGTTTTGCCTATTTATTGATGGTAGTGCTTAAGGATTGTCACTGCAGACTTAAGGCTTAGGCAAGGGGAGGGCAAAGAGTAGGGAAGACATGAAAGGAGGAGAAGGAGAAGAGACATACAGTTTCAGGGCCAGTTCCTCGTGGAGTATTGGGGAAAGATGGAAGTATAGGGAAAAAAGTGATTTTAGCAGGTAAAAGCAGAGAAACCAACTGTGAAAATAGCACTTGTCACAGGCTTTATAAGTTCATAATACCCATTCTCTAACAGGAGACACTGGACTAAGTTTCATCTGTATGTAATTGTGTAACGTAAGACAGTTTGTGATTTTTTTCTCAGCAGTCTTTGGATTCATTTCACGTGTACTTTAGGAACTTTAACTGCGTTTCATTTTTTTGTTTATCAAAGCTCCAGACTTTCCCTTATTCTTGTATTTCAGTATCATGTTGCTGGAGGGGGCTTTCTGATTTTTTTTTTTTTTTTTTTTTTAATGTGTAACAAGGTTTTGTGTTTCTGGTTTCCTTTTTTTTTGGATCATTTTTTTTCTAGTACCTTTGTTTTTCCTAGTTTTTAGTCTCTAGGTTCTGTGTAAATAAGAATGGTATACATTTTGGAAGAGGGTTTTATTTTAAGCACTGAAAAATGGCATCTTCTAGCTTTGCAAGGGATATTGAAAGATCCCTTACCTTTCAGGAAGTGTTACTTTGATCTGCCAGAAAGAGAAAGTGAGCTGTTTGAAAAAACTTCCACCAAAGGAGATTGCACAACATCTTTGATATCTTATTTAAGGAATTCTTTCTCAGATCTCATGTAAAATCTACTTGCTATGACAAACATTGACATTTTTTACCTTTGGGACACACTTAGGTAGCATCTGCTCGCTTGTACATGGTACACTCTAGTACCACATCTTTATTGTTCAGTATATGGCTCAACATGTTAAGGGTCTGCAATACTCAGAAGAAAAATGTTGAAGAGACCCAGTAGTAAGAATATGTGCATTTCAGAGATGTGAAGGGTATTTGAGTAGCTGTGAGTTATATGCCTAGACAGCGCGGGGCCTGTGAAAGTCATCACTGATTTTCTCACCATTTCTGCTCCTGCATATTTCTGTCTTCAGATTGAGACCAGCTGGCTACCATCCTTTCTGTAAGAGCATTTACTGTCACTTCTCTTCCTCTTTTAGAGGCTGCAAATAGTTCCAGTTCCTTTCATCTTTCCTCAGAGGTTTTAGTTTTCAGCCTGTTAATCATCTTTGAGTCTCTTCTGAATCCCATCCAAGTTTTATTTTTCCTTAACATTCCTTTTCAGTTTAGAAGCACAAAACTGAACACAGTGCCCTGAGAGTTTCTGACCCCTTTCGAGTACTACCAGAGGAAGATTTCACACTTGTACATGGGCCAGACTCCATTTCACATAACCTTAGATGATGTTTGCTTTCCAGAAGTCCAGTCATATGGTGCTGACTGGCTGTCAGATTTTTATCTCTTATGACCTTGATCTTTCCCTCTTATGTTTATTTATAGCTTGTACATTCATCATCTTTTATTTATGGAGTTTACTTTTCTTGGCTGGATAGATCTTGGCTAGATTGCTTTGCACTGTCCTCATTGAAATTCATTGCCTCTTTTTCTAATTACTTCACCTCTTACTCAGTGTCATTTCCATGCTTATCTTCCAGTGTGGCCAACCCAAAGGCTTCATATTGTCTGTGCTATTCAAGTCATTGATGCAGATGTTAAAAAAAGAAAAAAAAAAGGGAGGGGGGAACAATGTCCTAGAAACAATGGCAGAACACAATTTGCTGGTGTTTCTTAAAATTTACTCTGATGACTAGCCGAGCTTAGTGGTAGAGGGCTGCCTATGTTTCCCCTCCGTTTGTACTTTCATACTCCTAGGATCTCTTCCCCTTACCGCCAGTTTGGTGCTCACATCTCCATACATCTGTGCCAAGGAACAAAGAAAGCTTTGTCAGAGCAGTTCACCTTGCACACTGTTGTCAGATTTAATCTTAATCACTGCCTTGTACGTATCTCTCCCTGTTCATAACTTTCAGTGGCTCCCAATTGTCACTGAATTAAATATAAAATTTCTAATCTGGTATTCAAAGCACATTATTTAATGGCCTTAGCCTCCCTTTCTGTCTGATTGCTTGTAACTATACAAAACGAACCACTTGCCATTCCCTGGATATCTTGCACACCTTCTGAGGCCTTGGTTTGTTTGCGTTGTTTGCTCTACTTAGAACCCTGAAGCTTTAACATCTAATTTCTGTTTATTAACACCATGTAAGATCACCTTCTTTCATCTTTCTTTTTGGATTTCTGGACTTCTCCAGCTAGATATGATCTTTTCTTCCCACCTCATCTTTATACTCTATAGTTATTTGTGTGCTTTTCTCATTCTTCTACTAGACTACCTTTTTTGAGAACTTTTTCTTCCTCATTTTGGTAACTTTGGGTGTACCTAGTATGTATTTGCATAAGTATTTGCATAGACTTACTTTTTTTAAATAGTATTTATGGGTATATGGCAAATAAATGAACTATATCGGTTTGAGCACATTTTATGATATTTGATTCAAATTCTAGTGTAAGCTCCTTACCTACTCATAGACTGGTGGCAAAGTTTGCAGACTGACAGCTGGTCTACATTTTGAGTAGTATTGGCACAGTCAACTTTTTTCCCCTTAAAAAAATTCTAGAAAGTATTAAAGTTTTAAAATGATTTATTGTATTAGTCATTAATTAAACAAAAGTTGCTAAATGCAGTAATTGCTTGATTGCATAATTAAATTTGTATTCTAAAAGCCCTTTTATAATTGACTTTTATTGTTTCCTAGAAACTACCCAACTCTGGCCAATATCGAAAGAAAGAAAAAGTTAAAACTTGAAAAGGAAAAGAGAGGAGCAGTTTTGACAACGACACAGTATGGGTAAGTTCCTTAAAATTGCTTGCATTCTTCATGCTTATTTCAAACAAGTATTCTTACAGATAATAAACAAGAACATGTACCAAACAAAATCTTAAAATTTCTGCACTCCTAATTCTAAAATCTTTGCTTGTATAATGTTTTTTACTTCAAAATTTCTTTAAATTATATTTTTAAATAAGTAGTACCCTATATTCATGTGGTTTTCAAAAAGATACAATAAATCTTTTGTCTTTGTCTCCTAACTAAACAGTTCTCCTCCCCAGAGACAACCCATTTTATCCTTCCAGAGATACTTCATTTGTATATAGCACATAAGATAATAGTCTTTTTTTTCCTTTTTGACACTATTCTATACTTTGCTCTTTTTAGCCAAATGATATACTTAGAGATAGTAATGCATAACTAGCCTTCTCATTCTTCAAGGATGTGTAGAACCCTAAGGGTGTCCCACAGGGTTGGTTGGTTTTTTTTTTTAACCAATTTCCTATTGACAGATACTTAAGTTCTTACCAGTCTTTTACTAATAAAAATTTGCCATTACTGCCCTGTACATACATTTTACACATATGCAAGTATTCCTGAGGTTGGATTTCGAGAAGTGGATTTGCTGAGTCAAAAGATAATATGTATATTTGTTTTGTTTTTTTAAAAATAAATTTAAATTTATTTTTTGATTTTTAAATTTATTTTATTTTTTTAATTTATTTATTTGACAGGGCACCTGGGTGGCTCAGTTGGTTAAGCGACTGCCTTCGGCTCAGGTCATGATCCTGGAGTCCCGGGATCGAGTCCCGCATCGAGCTTCCTGCTCAGCAGGGAGTCTGCTTCTCCTCTGACCCTCCTCCCTCTCATGCTCTCTATCTCTCATTCTCTCTCTCAAATAAATAAATAAAATCTTTAAAAAAAAAAAATTTATTTATTTGACAGAGAGAGACACAGCGAGAGAGGGAACACAAGCAGGGGGAGTGGGAGAGGGAGAAGCAGGCTTCCCGCAGAGCAGGGAGCCCGATGTGGGGCTCAACACTGAGCCGAAGGCAGATGCTTAACGACTGAGGCACCCAGGGGCCCCTGTTTTTTTGTTTTTTTTTTTTTAAATATTTATTTATTTATTAGAGAGGGAGAGAGAGCATGGCAGGGAGGGGCAAAGGGAGGGGGAGAGGAAGAGAATCCCAAGCAGACTCCCCACTGAGCGTGGAGTCTGACTTGAGGCTCGGTCCCACGACCCTGAGACCATGACCTGAGCTGCAGTCAAGAGTTGGAAGCTTAACTGACTGAGCCATCTGGGCACCCCATATATATTTGTATTTGTAATATTAATGGCTAATTGCCAAATATCTATCATAGTTAACTCTCCCACCAGCAGTGTGTAAGACACCCTATTTTCCCCAATCCCTCACCTTCATAGAATTTTTTTCAGAATTTTTTCCATTTTTTTCCTGAAGTTTATTTTTAATATAAATGAAAGATACAAATCTCAAATGTACAATTCAAATTTATACACATATACACACCTACACACCCATGTAACCTCCACACAGATTAATAACATTCAAAACATCTTCACCTTATAAATTTTTCTTAAGCTCTCCCTAGTTCATTGCCTCCCCACAAAGATGACCTCTTTTCTGATTTCTGTAATCATAGATTTATCTTTCGTGCTTTTGGAACCATATATAAATAGAATCATATGATGTGTATTCTTTGGTGTGTGATTTCTATGGTTTGGAATTGTTTTGTGGTATTCACCCATATTGTGTGTAGCTCTAAACTGTTCATTCTTATTGTTGTGTAGAACTCATTTGTGAGGATATCCATTCTATTGTTGGACATTTGGGTTGTTTCCAGTTTGGGTTATTATGAATAAAGCTGCAATGGACAATTTTTTACATGTCTTTTGGGGACATAAGTACTCGTTTTCACTGGTCATATATATATGCTGAATCATTGGCCTCTATATATTTAGTTCTAATAGATAAAGCCAAACGATTTTCCGTAAAAGTTGTACCAGTTTATGCTCCTACTGATTGTGCATCTAATTGCTCTGTCTTTGGTTCATGCTTGGTTACACCTTTTCCTTATGTCCTCCCATTTCCCTCTTGACTAATGATGTTGGACACCTTTTTATTTTTTATTTTTTAATTTTTTAAAAGATTTTATTTATTTATTTATTTGAGAGAGAGAATGAGATAGAGAGAGCATGAGGGGGGGAGGGTCAGAGGGAGAAGCAGACTCCCCGCCCAGCAGGGAGCCCGACGATCCCTGGACTCCAGGATCATGACCTGAGCTGAAGGCACTCGCTCAACCAACTGAGCCACCCAGGCGCCCAGTTGGACACCTTTTTATATGCTTATCAGCCATTTTGATATTTCCTTGTGAAGTGCCAGTTCAAGTTTTTGACCAGTTTTTAATTGGGTTGCTTTTCTTGATTTGTAGGAGTGATTTACTTAGACACAAATCCTTTCTTGAGTAGATAGATATATTGCAAATATACCCTCACAGTTTGTGACTTGCCTCTTTACTCTTAATGGGTGTCCTTCCCCCCCCCATATAGTAGTAAGTATTAATTGTTCCGACATCTGGGGTCATGTGGGGTTCAGTTAGACATATCTGCTGATCTTGACAAGGCTCAGTCATAGCTGGGGGTTGGTTAGCTGATGGCTAATCTAGCCTGGCTGAAGGCTGAGATACTTACAGTTACCATTTCTGGTACACTTCATTCTTTAGTGTTGATCCACCATCTGATAGCATTTTCCTTTTGCCTAAAAGGAAAGTTTTTCTTTGGCATTTCTTGTAGTGAGGATCTGCTGGAGGTCTAAAAAGACCGTCTTTTTTCTTTTTGAAAGATATTTTTGCTGGTTATGCAATTCTACACTAACAGGTTGTTTTGTTTAGTTTTAGTTTAGTTTTTTTTTTTTTTAATTTAAGGATTTTGCTCCATTGTGTTTTCACTTGCATTGTTTCCAGAGAAATCTGCTGTTATCATTATTTTGTTCCTATATATAAAATGCTTTTTTTCACTAGCTCCTTTTAATATTTCTTTATTGCTGGCTTAAACAATTTTATAATGTGCCTTTGTATTATTTTCTTCATCTTTCTTGTGCTTGGGATTTGTTGAAATTCTTGGTTTATGGGTTTATAGTTTTTATCAATTTTGGAAAAACTTTGACCATTATTTCTTAAAATATTTTTTTCTTTCTCTGTCCTTCAGAGACTCCATTTAAATGCATATTAGGCTGCTTGAAGTTGTTCCTTAGCTTCCTGATGCTCTTTTCACTTTTTAAAATTATTTTTTCTCTTTGTCTCATTTTGGATAGTTTCTGTTGCTATGCCTTTATGTTCATTAATCTTTTCTTAGGCAGTATCTAATCTTCCATTAATGTCTTGGTGTATATTTTGCATCTTTTACCACAAACATTGTGGTTTTCATCTTAAGTTTGACTTGGATCTTTTAAAAATATCTTCCATGTCTCTATTTTAAATCTTTTGAACATTTTGGAGTATAGTTATAATAGCTTTTAATGTCTTTTTTTGCTAATTCTAATACTTGTGTCAGTTCTAGATTCATTTTGATTGATTTTTCTCTTCACCATGGGTCATATTTTCCTGCCTTTTTTGCATGCCTGGTAATTTTTTATTGGGTAGTAGACATTAGGAACTTTATCTTGTTGGGTATTTTCATATTTCAATAAATATTCTTGAACTTTTTCCTAGGAACACAGCTAAATTACTTAAAAACAGTGGTATCTTGGTTTCTCTAGGATCTTAACTCTGTTTTCTCAATTCAGGGAGTCTGCCAGATGCAAGGTTCTCTTGCTGCACTGCGATCTGAAACCTTCTAAGGCAGTAGGATAGGGTAGTCATAGGGCTCACTGCTCATTTATTTCTTATTTTCCCCACATTCACTGCTCTTGTTACCTGATGTCCAGTGTCTTAAAAACTGTTGTTTCTGTGTTTTGCCTAGATTTTTGGTTGTTTGAGGTGGGAGAATAAATCTAGTCCCTGTTACTTTATTTTGGCCTTAAACAGAGGTCCCTAATGGTGTCTTTTGATAATAAAAGTTCTTAATTTTCATGAAGTCCAATTCATAACCAGTGCTGTTTATGGTCTGCTTAAGAAATCTTTGCTTACAGCAAGGTCATGAAGCTATTCTTCTGTGTTTTCTTTTAGATTTATTTCTTTACTATTCACATTTGTGTCTTGAATTAATTTTTATATACAACATAGGGATTAAGGTTCTTCTCCCCTCCCCATATGAACTGTGGTTAATCCAGCACCAATTTTGCTATACCATGCAAACAAAAGTAACCTGATACATGGTATTAATATCAGACAAAGTAGATGTTAAAGAAAGAAGTGTTACTGGAGTTACATATGAATATTTTATTTAAGGTTTTATTTATTTCACAGAGAGAGGGGCAGCGAGAGAGGGAACACAAGCAGGGGGAGTGGGAGAGGGAGAAGCAGGCTTCCCGTTGAGCAGGAAGCCTGACACGGGGCTCTATTCCAGGACGCTGGGATCATGACTTGAGCTGAAGGCAGATGCTTAATGACTGAGCCACCCAGGCGCCCCCATATGGATATTTTGTAATATTAAAAGGAACAGGAAGCAACAGGAAGACAGAATAAGCTGTAAATCTATGTGCAGCTGATAACATAACTTTAAAATACATAAAGCAAAAATTATTGACTGCCTCAAAGGAGAACTAGATAAATTCACAGAGTTGAAGATTTTTAACACACCTTTCCCTGTATTTATTAGAAAGTGATCTATAGGATTTTAGAAGATTTGAATACAACCAGTCTAATCTAGAATATTTATATTCCCAACAACTTTTTGTTTACACAAAGAATATACATTGTATCAAGCAGATCACAAAACAAATATCAATAAATTCCAAAGGATTGAAACAATACAAAACAATTTTGTTTTGACCAATATAAAAATAAGCTAAAAATCAATAACAAAAAGATAGCTAAAAAAACTCCAATGCTTAGAAATTAGACATTTATTTACTTATTTTATTTTAAGCAGTACATTTAAAATGTAACTTATTAAAACTGACTCCAAAAATCAGAATAGTTTTATATTTGTTAGCAAAACTAAATCCGTAATTAAAAACTTTTTTACAAAAAATTCTGTACATTTATAAAGAACAAATGTCAGTCTTACAAAAAGTTTTCCAGCAAGTAGAAAATAAGGGAACACTTTCCAACTCATTTTAAATTTAAAAAATTTTTTCTTTTGAGAGAGAAAGAGCGGGGGCGGGGGAGGGATGGGACAGAGGGAGAGGGAGAATCTCAAGCAGGCTCCACACCCAATGCAGAGCCCGACCTGGGGCTCGATCTCACAACCCCAAGATCATGACCTGAGCTGAAATCAAGATTTGGAAGCTTAACCAACTGAGCCACCCAGGCGCCCCTCCAACACATTTTAAGAGTCCAGTATAGTCTAGATAACAAAACCTGACATTACAATAAGGGAAAATCAGAAGCAAATATCTGTTGAGCAGAGACACAAAAGTCCTAAACAAAATGTTAGCAAATCAGTCTGGAAGTAGGAAAAAAGTATATATACATCATTACCAAGTGGGATTTATTCCAGGAGCAAGGTTAGTTTGGTATTTGAAAATCAAAAGTTATTCATCACGTGAACAAAATAGAGTAAAATGATATGGTTATCTTAATAAATAACAAAAAATTTTTGATGAAATTCAATATACAGTTGTGAAAAAAACTTTTGACAAACTAGGAATAAAAGATAATTCCCTTAATCTAATAAAAGATATCTACAAACAACCTATAGCCAGATTATACTTAGTAGTGAAATACTGATTGTTTTCCCCCCTGAGATTGAGAATAAGACAGAGATGGCCACTATTACCACTTTTATTCAACATTATAATGGAGGTCTTGGACAGTATAATAAAGCCAAAAAAAAAAAAAGTTGGACATATAAAATCTGAAAAGGAAGAAGTAACGGTCAGTTGTTAAAAGTTGACATGATTGTGTGTATAAAAACATATCCAAACAAATCTATAATGAGAGTTAATAAAGTGAACTTAGTGAGGGTGCTGAATACATATAAAATCAATATTTTAAAAAATTAGTTGTATTTTTACATGCTAACAGTAATTAGGAAATGAAAATTCAGGAGATACTATTTTTGATAGCATCAAAACATCAAATACCTAGGATACATCTAATGAAAGACTTGTAAGACCTCTATACTAAAAATTGTGAAATGTTGCTCAAAAATAAAGGCCTAAATAAGTGGAGCTTATTGTTCATGGCTAGAAGACGCTATATGATTTTCTCTCCAAATTTATCCCTATCAAAATGCCAGTAAGTTTTGTTTTGTAGGGTGGTGGAAGCAGTTAGTATTGATAAGCTTTAAAATTTATATGAGAATCCAAAGGATCTAGACAGCTAAGAAAGAGATGAAGGTAGTGTAGCATTGCCCAAGGATAGGTAAACAGAACAGAATACAGTCCACAAAAGATCCTCTGGTAAACAGTCACCTGACTTATGGCTGGTGGCAATATGGTGCAGTGGGGAAAGGAAAGCATTTTCAACCCTTTCCTTTTATATCTTCGTATCCATATATTTAAAAGTATTTCTTAAAGAATATATAATTTGGTCTTATTTTTTATTATCTAGGCCAACAATCTTTATCTTTTAATTACATTTAAAGTAATTACTAATATAGTTGGGTTTCAGTCTACCATTGTCCTATTTGCTTTTTTTTAATATGTCCTTTTTGTTATTTTGTTGTTTGTTCCTTGCCTTTTGTTTGTTTGTTTTTTGTTGTTGTTGTTGTAGCCTCCATGCCCAGCCCCAAGAAGGGGCTTGAACTCACGACCCTGAGATCAAGACCTGAGTGGAGATCAAGAGTTGGACACTTAACTGACTGAGCCACTCAGGCGCCCCCTCTTCCTTCTTTTGGATTAATTGAATAATTTTTTAATATTCTATTTCTCCTCTGTTAGCTTTTTAGTTATAATTATTCCTTAATCTCTCTACTCCATGTGTAGCTACATCTTTACTTACATTATACCTTGTGTAAGTATTTTTCAATGTTGATTAAATAAGCTTTTTCTTTTAAATGATTGTCAACAGTGTAAAGGAACTACTTCCTCAAAGGTAGGGTAGTATAAATACCAGATATATCACTTTCAATGAAGTCTTATTGATCTGATCAGGTAAATGTCATTCTAGGGGCATCTGGCTGGCTTAGTTGGTAGAGCATGAGACTTGATCTTGGGTTTGTGAGTATCTAGCCCCATGTTGAGTGTAGAGATTACCTAGAAAAAATAAAATCTTAGGGCACCTGTGTGGCTCAGTCGGTTAAGCATCAGCCTTTGGCTCAGGTCATGGTCCCAGGGTTCTGGGGTTGAGTCCCACATCAGACTTCCTGCTTAGCAGGGAGTCTACTTCTTCCTCTCCCTCTTCACCTCTCCCCGATTTGTTCCGTCTCTCTCTAATAAAAAAATTAAATCTTTAAAAGAAATAAAATCTCAAAAAAGAAAAAGTCATTCTGACCCATCACTAATGTGAATACCTTAAGATGATCATTTAAAAGCCATCTGTGTGGGCGCCTGGGTGGCTCAGTTGGTTAAGCGACTGCCTTCGGCTCAGGTCATGATCCTGGAGTCCCTGGATTGAGTCCCGCATCGGGCTCCCTGCTCGGCAGGGAGTCTGCTTCTCCCTCTCCCATTTCCCCCCTGCTTGTGTTCCCTCTCTCACTGTGTCTTTCTCTGTCAAATAAATAAATAAAATCTTTAAAATAAAAAAAAATAAATAAATAAAAGCCATCTGTGGTCAGGTGCTATAGGAGCAGGATATAGGGAAGGCATCTGTGAATGGGAGCCTAAGGAACATGGCATCTCTTCATTATCCTCATGGGGCTGATGGGCCAGAGGCAGAAACTACCTGTTTTGCCTGTGATGACACTGTCGAGGCCTGACTTCTGTGGTTGCACATTGGAAATTGATCCATGGTTTTCTGCAAAATTTGGAGTATATATATGATTTTTTGGAACGAGACTCTGTAAGGATCATGGCGACCCTAAGAGGATTAAGAACCTTTGGATTGCAGAAATATTAACCGAATATGTTGGTTTAGAAAATTATTTAGAAATTGTTATGGGGCGCCTGGGTGGCTCAAATGGTTGAGCGTCTGCCTTCGGCTCAGGTCATGATCCCAGGGTCCTGGGATTGAGTCCCGCATTGGGCTCCCTGCTCGGTGCAGAGCCTGCTTCTCCCTCTCCCTCTGCCATTCCCTCTGCTTGTGCTCTTCTGTCTCTCTGTCAAATAAATAAATAAAATCTTTAAAAAAAAAAAAGATTGTTATGATAATAACTACCATTTATTAAGGGCTCAATGTGGCACTTTATATTAACTCTATGTCTCTATGATTCCCTTTCTACAAATGAGGGAGTAAACAGACGCAGGGATATCAGTATTGTCCAAGAGGCACAGCTAGTAAGTGCAAAATTGGGATTTGAACCCAGATTCCTAATTTCTGTATTCCTAACTGTATCCTCCATTATTAATGAAAAAAAAAAAAAAGAATTCTGCCAATAAATGACAAGTTAGGAAAAACATGTATTTTTGTGAAAACTCAGCCCTACCAAAGGATGCCTTGTATTGTTGTCTATTGAGAATGTATAATGAACCTTTTTTTGAAAATTTGTTCCTACACAGTTTACCTTAGAATATACTCATACCAGCATTTGTTTTCCTTCTAAGAGGAGTAATTATAGTTGTTAAGAGGGTACTTGATTTGAGGTAGCTGTGAAATTGTGCTCAGTTTATGATCTTTAAGTTTATCTTATAAAGTGAAGAGAATAGTACCTGTCTAATCTACTTTCAAAGAGTTAGCGTGAAGATCAAACAAGGCAGTATATTTGTAAATGCATCAGAAACTTGAAGGCTCCTGGAGAATGAAGAGACAACAGTTAACACACTTTAAAATCTAAGAAACACTTATTTTATGTACAATCAGAATGAAAGAATTCTGGTTAAATTGACCTGCTGTTGATCATACAACATAGACCATTTTCAGAGGGGTTAAAATATGGGAGGAAATAGGCATCTCAGAATTGATAAGGTATAGTATATTGTGGTATATTATTCTTTTAAATATCTACCATAAAGTTGTCTGTCTTTGGAAGCCATTGAGTTTATTTATTTTGATTTCTTTAATATACTAGGCTACAAATAATTGATAGGGCAGCTAAGTTTCTTTTGCATTCAGTACTCTCCTTTCGATTTTTCTTGAGAGGTCAGTGCCTTTTATATATAGAATTGCATTTTTCTCACTCCAGCAAGATGAAGGGGATGTCCAGACATTCACAGATGGCAAAGATCAGAAGTCCTGGCAGGCATCACAAGTGGAAAAATGACCGTGTTGGACAGAAAGCAGCCATTGGATCTGGCAATTGCTTGCGTGATTCGAAGCCTGAAGATCCACCTGAGGCAAATGCAGACCCTCTGGGTGTTTTGGTAAACACTGATTCTGGTAAGTTAAAAGGAAAGTAGCATGTTTATAAGTGTATAGATCGTGATGCTGAAGTTGATTCTTCACAGCATTGTTTGTGGAGAATTTAATGGCAAATACGTTAAAAAGAAAAAAAAAAGAACAATGCTTTTTTTTTTTTTTTTTCTTTTAAAGATTTTATTTATTTATTTGAGAGAGAGAATGAGACAGAGAGCATGAGAGAGGGGAGGGTCAGAGGGAGAAGCAGACTCCCCGCCGAGCAGGGAGCCCGATGCGGGACTTGATCCAGGGACTCCAGGATCATGACCTGAGCCGAAGGTAGTCGCTTAACCAACTGAGCCACGCAGGCGCCCAATGCTTTTGTTTTTATTCCTAGGAGGAGTGTCTTGTCAAAACCCTCATTTCAGGACATCTTTTCTGAATCTTGGGGAGTAGTGGGTGCATGAGGCAGGCAGGATGTGGAAGAAAGATGATATTGGGTAATTTTCATAGTATGGTGTAATCTTGGAAATGTTCTTAAGATTGTTCTGTACGGGGGCCCCTGGGTGACTCAGTTGGTTAAACCTCTGACTCTTGATTTTCGGCTCAGGTCATGATCTCAGGGTCATGAGATGGAGCCTCATGTCGGGGTCTGCATTCAGAGGGGAGTCTGCTTGGGATTCTCTCTCTCTCTCCCTCTGCTGCTCCCCCTCCCCCCACGCTCTCACTCTCTCTCTAAAATAAATCTTAAAAAAAAAAAAAGATTGTTTTGCATGTATTGATGCTGTAGATTCAAATTTGCTCAATTATGTTAATTTTTCCCCACCTATGAGGTGGGTAATTTCAGTGAAAGCCAGTATTATTTATGCTGCTGAGCATTAATATGATCTCTTTGGGTAAATAATAATATTTCATTGTATTTGATACTATTCTTCCTCAGCACATAGAATATATTTATATTAGCTTTGAATTCCCTGACTCTTGCTTATTAATAAGTTGAAAAATTAAAGGACCAGAATGCTGCTAACCACACAGAGATATTATCCAGCCTCTGAGACTCCATTTTCCCTTCTGAAAAATGAAAATGTGGATGTAAATATTTCTACCATCTTTCCTTCAAATAACATCATGAGGCTTTATCTTACTGTATGTATTTTCTCTTCTGCAGAGGAGTAGTATTAGTGGTGAACTGATGCTGGTAGGCTCTGTTTAGCTTGGAAGACAATGACTTCTATGATAAGCACATGGCAAATAATTAAACTTATGGGTGGCAAGAAATGGGATAACTAATTCAATGACTGAATTAGGAGGGAAAGGATCTTGGCATAGGGAGTGTTAGGCTAAGAATAATAAGATATAATTTAGTTAGAATAATAGTAATTATTTTAACACCAGCTAACACTTAATTGAGTAAGGTTCTTAAGGTGCTCTATATGCTTTATACGTGTTAACTCTTTTCCTTCTACAATGCAAATGTACTGTTGCTACTTGCATTTTAGAACTGGGAAACACAGGGTAAGTAATTTACCTTAGCCCGGCTGTTAGTTGGCAGCAGTGCCAGAGTTTGAATTTAAGAATCGAATTCCACTAGACACTGCTGCTTTTTTTTTTTTTTAAAGATGTTATTTATGTATTTGACAGAGAGAGACACAGCGAGAGAGGGAACACAAGCAGGGGGACTGGGAGACGGAGAAGCAGGCTTCCAGCAGAGCAGGGATCCCGATGTGGGGCTCGATCCCAGGACCCTGGGATCATGACCTGAACCGAAGGCAGCCGCTTAACGACTGAGTCACCCAGGCGCCCCTAGATTAACTGCTTCTTCTAAATGCGAAGTCTGAATTTATCTAAAAAAAAATATTGTATGAGCCTAGGATAGTTGAGATGTGGAAGAGAGTTTAGAAAAGGCATCTTTTTATCCTTGCTGATAGCAAGGAAAAGGCAGATGACATTTGGGGACAGCACTGAGTTTACTCTTGGGCACTGATTTTTTTCCTTCAAAAGATGTTAGAGCCCACACACTTCTTCAGATTTAAAATGACCTTGATAAAAACCGTCTGTATCCAAATATAAACTTTCATGTCATTAAAATACTTGAAACACAAATACAAACACTACTGTTATAATTAGTAAGTTACTAATCTGAAAATTATGTAATTCTTCACTTCATGCCATTCTCTAAATGAGCATTCAAGGGACTCTGTAATGTTGAATAGTCTTCATTCTGTTAGCTTGAGAGGTCAGTGCCTTTGGTAGATGGGTAATTCTGTTCTCTTTCTCTCTTTCTTCTTCTTTTTTTTTTTTGTTAAAGTAATCTCTACACTCAACATGGGGCTTGAACTCATGAACCTGAGATTGAGAGTTGCATGCTCTATGGGCTGAGCCAGCCAGGCCCCCCTCTGTTTTCTCATTTTTATTTTTATTTTTTTAAGATTTTATTTAGAGAGAGAAGGGGGTGGGGAGAGAGGGAGAGCACAGAGGGAGAGGGAGATGCAGGCTCCCTGCTGAGCAGGGAGTCTGTTGCGGGATTTGATCCCAGGACCCCGAGATCATGCCCTGAGCTGAAGGCAGATGATTAACTGAGTGAACCACCCAGGCGCCGCTGTTTTCTCTTACTTACTTACTTACTTAATTTATTTATTTATTTTTAAGATTTTATTTATTTATTTGACAGAGAGAGACACAACGAGAGAGGGAACACAAGTAGGGGGAGTGGGAGAGGGAGAAGCAGGCTCTCCCCTGAGCGGGGAGCCTGATGCGGGACTCGATCCCAGGACCCTGAGATCATGACCTGAGCTGAAGGCAGACACTTAAGGACTGAGCCACCCAAGCGCCCCTGTTTTCTCATTTTTAAAGAAGTATTTCAGTATGTGATAATCTGGTGAAATACCAATAAAAAGATGATTATTTTGCTCTATTTAAGCCTGTATCTAGTTCTTCAGGAGATGCTTTAGATGTGAGAAACAGTATCTTTCATCCTCATGGTAGAAACCGTTTAGTCAGATTCCTAGGTGCAATTGTATGAGAGACCTCAAGTAATTTTGTTTTGGTATAAATGTGGAAACCTTTACCTATACGGAGGGTCAAAGATAGGAATGTACCTATATTGAGGGTCAAAGATGATTATGTAAGTCTTGAATATAAAAATCTTACAAGTAAGTTATAAATTCATAATACCATTCTTTAAGGAAGTCAACCAGTGATCAAGTTAGGGTAACTAAATTTTGTAGGAAGGATTTCATTTAAATTTATGTTATCCTTTACCTGGGATTTCTTTTGGACGTTTACATTTTCCAAATCAATGTTTAGACCATTGGTTCTTCAACTTTTCACTCCAGGTATAGCTACAAAAAACTATGTGGACCATTTTTTCACATGCTCATTTCACATTTCTCAGCATGTCTACTCTCTAATCTGTCCGTCTTACACTTGTTTGGAGGCAGCTTCCTTCTACCTGGGCCAGAGTGAGCCAACCTTAAGATCAGTTGTTGTGCTCATTATTCAGCTTGTCATTGGTGGGGTAGCACTGCAGTGATGTGGCCCTGTTTGTGTTCTCAGGTGGCAGTTAATACTTTTCATCACTAATTTCACTTTTAAAATGAAAATCTCCCGATGCCTTACATTTTCTTCCCCCTTTTTTTTTTTTCTTTTTGGCTTGGAGCCTTATCTAGATAACAGCATTCATATTTTAAACAAGACAGCAGTTCTTGAGCATCTTTACAGACTTCAGATCATGCTTAGAAAATCAGTATTTTTTGTGATAGTTGGTACTGTGTGAACTCTCAGTAATTGTATAGGTGCTTTAAACTGGGGATTAGTATTGTTTCAAAGGGAAAGCCGGTCATTTGGAGTCTCCCAATTTATCAGTTTTGAATATGGCCTGTTTTCACTAGATGCCTTTAATGGCGCCATGTTTTTTTTTTAGTTCCTTGTATGTTCTGCTACCTAGTGTCCTCAAGATGTTGTTGTTGTTTGGGGCACCTGGGTGGCTCAGTCGTTAGGCGTCTGCCTTCGGCTCAGGTCATGATCCCGGGGTCCTGGGGTCGAGCCCCGCATAGGGCTCCCTGCTCTGCGGGAAGCCTGCTTCTCCTCCTCCCACTCCCCCTGCTTGTGTTCCCTCTCGCTGTTTCTCTCTGTCAAATAAATAAATAAAATCTTAAAAAAAAAAAAAAATGTTGTTGTTTTAAATCTTTTTTTGGTATTTCAGTAGTTAGCACCATATTTATTTCGTGGCTGTTGTTTAAGTGTATCTACAACATGTTTTATGACTTTCCTGACCTGTGGTTTTAATAAGTGTCGCCTGAGCTAGAAAGAGGAGCTGGTCGGTAATGTGCATCAGGCATCACTGACTGAAGTGCCTCAGCATCCACAAAATGAAGAATATCCAATTTGTTAGTCATTCGTTATAGTATAAATACAGCTGTTGTCATAGAACACTGGGGGAACATCCTGTATGCACTGACATTGAGCTAGGTGGGCTTCTGGTGTTTAAAAGGTAGATGTTAAAATAAGAATATAAACTAGCACATCAGCTGTCATGAATGCTTGTTGTTAATGTTTGTTTTTGAGACTTGGATACCATAAAGCAAGGTTTCCATTTTTTAGAGTGACTTTTTCAACATACTGCATTTTCTTTAGGGTACTTAATCTATCTGTAGATCTTTTTGGGGCTAGAGCATGTAATTGTGTTTCACTTCATAAAGGCAATAAGAAATAGGGGGATGAAGAGGGAGAGACAAGTAAAGAAATAAGTTGTAGAAAGAATCCAGATGGGAAGCTTTTACAACTAGTGTTTATACTTATGCAAGACTTACAAAGGGCAGGTTTTTTTTCTTTTTTCATTTCAGTAGGGATTTACTTGAGGTCCTATATTCTCTTTGTCCATCATTGTAATTCAGAGAAGTTTCTCCCTGACTTCAAGAAATTCATAGTCCAATGATAAATTGTAGATTTATATATATTTACATATATATATATATATTCAGAGGGCACATGGTGTGTATGTATGAGAGAGAGAGAGAGGTGAGATTTACTCTAAGAGAAGTATTGCTAGGGTTTTAACAGTAAGAGAAATTATTTGAGCTGGTATTTTATAATCATTTTAAAGTTTGATTTTATCATCTTCATTGCTCCTATCTTTATACTGGCATTTTTAGTTGAGAGAGGTGTTTTGGCTGTTTTTGTTAAAAAGTGAGTGAATTTTCTTCAGTATTATTTTGTCAGCCAGTACAGTGCCGTCAACATAATCTTTCCAACTGCTGAAAATGCCTATATTCGAACTGCTAGTAGATCCAAGGGACTTTGGGAACAGGCTCCCCCCACCCCACCCGTTTTTCAGATGAAAAGTCACTATAGAGGGTGTTTTAACAGGGCCAAAAGGACGATACCTCTTTTCAAAGTATTATTACATGTCATAGATTCCTGAAACATAACTGAGGGAGAACGACCTAGGGGAGCAATTGTTCATTTGTGTGAACTCCTAACTCTTACCCATGGGGAGACATTCAAGTATAGTGAACTTTGTGACATTTCTGGTAATGAGTACACCAAGCATCCAGATTGTGGTTTTACCATTCTCCAATTGAAGAGACCAGGGCCTTTTGGAGAAATGATTGATTGTAGAGCTGGGACAGAGAAAATACAAAGTGAACCTAGAGCATCTTAATAGTGCCAGAAGGTTAGAAAGTGCTCAGAAAACAATCAGGATTGTGGGCGTGTCAGAAGGATATAGGGACCAACTGGAAAATGCCCCGAATAGCCAAAGTTGGAACAATTCGAGCCACAAAATAAATAATAATAGATTATAACCCAAAGAATAAAATAAATATTCACAAGTCCATACTGATACAAATAGGAAATGGGGAAGGAGGGACAAATCTTTCGGAAAAACTCTAATTAATAAATGTAGAAGACATGAAGGAAATAAAAAGTCACCATTAAAATACCACAGTAATAATTGTTTCAGGCAAGACCCACTGATGAATGGTAAAATTAGTGACAAAACTTTAAAACAGGCTATTATGTAGTTTCAGAATATCTCCCCCTAAATATTAGTTACTGTGGTAGTTTTAACATGTCTAAATTTCTTTTATATTCCTTACTCTTAAGAGGGGGGAGCTTAATTCCCTTCCCCTTGAATGTGGGCTAGACTTAATGAATCATTAAAAAAAAAAAAGAACAATGGAAGAGAAAAATCATAACTTTATGGCAAAGAAACCAGGCCGACTACCAAGAGCTTAAGGTTAACATCACTAGTAGTAAGTCATGTTGATGTCATGGACTCCTGGTATGATGCGTGAGAAGGGCACTACCTAAAATCCATAGCCCCTGTGTAATCATCAAAAAATATCAGAGAGACGCTAGCCTAAGAGCCATTCTACAATAACTGACCAGTAGTCTTCAAAACTGTCAAGTTCATTAAAGACAAGGAAATACTGACAGATTGTCACAGATTTAGAGAAGATGCAGATAAGGCATCATGATGAGTAAATGTATAATGTAATGTGATGGTTTGGATCCTGAAGCAAGAAAAGGGTATTAGTGGAAAAACTAGTGAAATCATAATAGAGTCTGTAGTTTCGGTAGTATTGTACCAATGTTAATTTGGTAGCTATGTTAATGTGCCCTGGTTATGTAAGGGGGAAGCTAGATGGTAGGGTATATGGAAGTTCTCTGTACTATCTTTGCAACATTTGTATAAATCTAAAATCGTTTCAAATATAAAGTTTTTAAAAAAGGGAAGGCAGGAAAAGGGGCGATATGTAGGTCTATTAAAGCCTTGCCCTCCACTTCTTGAATTGAATTGTGAGGAAATAACTTTCCTCACAATTTTTTTTGTGATTTTCCTATGTTTTTCTATTATATTCTGATTATAAAAACAGAAAGAACTGAAGATCATTTTAAAAACCTCCACTTAACTTACAGAGACAGCCACTGCTCACATTTTGTTATATATCCTTTTAATATTTTTCATATCGCATGTATATGATTTTTAAAAATAAAATGGAATCATGTTATTAAAGAAAAGAAAGAAAGAAAGAGAAAGGAGCTTTAAATCCAGACAGAACTAGGTTTGTGTTGTGGCTTCACCTTTTCCTAGCCCTGTCGTTCTGTACCAGTTAGCCTTTTTGTTTGTTTGTTTGTTTTTAGATTTTATTTATTTATTTGTTTGAGAGAGAGAATGAGACAGAGAGAGCATGAGAGGGGAGAGGATCAGAGGGAGAAGCAGACTACCTGCTGAGCAGGGAGTCCGATGCGGGACTCGATCCTGGGACTCCAGGATCATGACCTGAGCCGAAGGCAGTTGCTTAACCAACTGAGCCACCCAGGCGCCCCCAGTTAGCCTTTTTGAACTCGTCTTTACTCATTCATGCAGCAGTTTGTTCTTCAAATATTTGTTCAGCACTTACGTACTGTTCTAGGCTCGGAGGTTACAGTACCGAACAAAGCCAAACCCTTTCCCTCCTGTAGCTTGTACTTGTTTACGTTTGAGTACATCAGATAGTTGTTTAGAGTTTTGCTATAACAGGGAACAGAGAAATGGAACCATAGCTGGAAGAAGACATTTATTAGCATTATTACTGACCATAGAGACATTTTGGTAGGATGGCTTCATCTTAATAAAAGGACTTTATGTATCTGTAGGAGAGATTCTAGCCCATTAGTTAAGAAATTGGGATTTGGATTCAGAGTTTTGCTGTAACAGGGAACAGAGAAACGGAACTATAGATGGAAGAAGACATTTATTAGCATTATTATTGACCATAGAGACATTTTGGTAGGATGGCTTCATTTTAATATGAGGACTTTATGTATCTGTAGGAGAGATTCTAGCCCATTAGTTAAGAATTGGGATTTGGAGTCAAATAGCCCAGATTTAACTTTGTCCAACTGTTGTATAATTTTGTTACCTGAAGGAAAAGTTACTCAGATTCTCTGAATTTTGGTTTCATTATCTGTAATTAATAGTGAAAATGATGCCTCCTAAGGATTAAATAAGATCGTACTTTAAAAGAGCATTATAGTCAACTGTGTTATGCTTTTTAGTATCTCTCTTTGGGTCTTCGAAGGAAATAATAGTTTGGCTTATCATCATTCAGTGAGATGAACAGTCTCCATATTAATACTGTTGTAGATTTCTGTTTAGTCCACTAGTAATTTGTATGTAGAACTGCATTATTTTTCTTTCCCCTTATCAGTTCATGAGAAAAGATACTAAGTTAGCTTAAAATAGACAAGGAGCAGTTTTCAGAGGGCGTGGTGCTGGGTAGCGTGGATGGGTGGAGGAGAGGGGATTTAACTTCATCTACCACCAGGTGGTAGGTCTATATTCACATGGAAGTACCCCCATTCCTACTGGCCTGTTTTGTTTTCCCCTGGACTGACTTGGTGAATGTTTTTTTTTTTTTTTTTTTTTAAAGATTTATTTTTCAACAGAGGGAGAGAGACAGCGAGAGAGGGAACACAAGCAGGGGGAGTGGGAGAGGGAGAAGCAGGCTCCCCACTGAGCAGGGAGCCCGATGTGGGACTCGATCCCAGGACCCTGGGATCATGACCTGAGCCGAAGGCAGACGCTTAACTACTGAGCCACCCAGGCGCCCCTGACTTGGTGAATGTTAAATGCTGTCTTGAAACGTTTCATATTGGTTGTGGGTTGAGCTGGTACATTACATAGACAGGTTACTTCCTGTCTTCATTCTTCAGTGAGGCTCTGTTTTTTATTGGTTGTTTAGACTAGATTTAATACATTTTTAGGGCTGCCAAAAACAAATGTAATAGGTGGTATCCTGAGGCTACAACTAGGCTCACTGGGCTCTGATCAAACACTACCTTTGGCAGGCTCTTTGATTCTTGCCAAATTCTCTGGCTTGGCTTGTTTACTTAAGTTCTTAGAAGTTCTAAATGATAAAAACTTTGGGTGAATTCATTTCAGCATAACTCTTTGACTAAACCTTTATATATGGAATGGTTTAAATATTATTTGTGTCCTCAACACCAGTCTTAAAAACAAAAAAGGTAGGGTGCCTGGGTGGCTCAGTCAGTTAAGTGTCTGCCTTTGGCTCAGGTCATGATCCCAGGGTCCTGGGATCGAGTCCCACGTTGGGTTCCCTGCTCCGCAGGGAGTCTACTTCTCCCTCTGCCCCTCCTCCCATTCATTCTCCCAATCTCTCTCTTTCTCTCTCTCAAATAAATAAAATAAAATAAAAACAAAAAAGGTAGATATTTTTATATTATTTATTCCTAAATCTAATTTTTATAGTCAATCATCCTAATCCAGTGAAGTTAAATGAATTTCTGGCCTTGGCCTTTCTACTACCTTAATAAAATTAATAGCACAATAGCCTAAATAAAAGTAGTAGCAAAGACTGTATAATTAATTTAGAGAAGGCGCAAATTCCATAACCTGTGAAGCATGGTAAGTAACTGAGCTGTGTTATAGCTTCCATTGGCCTCTGTCTTCTCTTTGGGGCAAGTAGCTTCTCTGACCACGGTGGTTTAAACCAAGGGAAAATGTTCAGGTTTCCTGAATTTTGTTTTTGGGGAAGATTAAGGAAATGATCAAAAGTGACTTTTCACTAACATATGAAGGACCTGGGGGGCTGTCAGCTTTCTTTTTTATGGTGGTGGATATGTTTGGTATACTGTATTACTTCTTTCCTGTTCTGTTTCAGAGTCTGATAAAGAGGAGAAACCACCACGTACTGTTATACCCAAGGAAGTGACACCAGCCCTGTGCTCACTAATGAGCAGCTATGGCAACCTCTCAGGGTCAGAGAGTGAGCCAGAAGGTGAGTCATAGCCTCAGTCGTTACAAGTGGGTTTGTTTTGTTTTGTTGCTTTTTGAATTTGATGTATACTGTGCCTCAGGAGCATCCTTTCATGTGTGTCTTTCTGAGGACAAGATGTGTCAAGCACATTCTTTAATCTTCACATTTTTCATTTGATGTTAGCATGGGATAAAGGAAAACTTGAGAAATGAGGAAATGTGTTGCTCAGTTGTGGGAGAAAAAGGCAAAATACTATAAATAATACAATGACAGAATAGAAAGGGGAAGAGATAATATTCCATTAATGGAATCAAAGAAAATTCTAATAGATACAGGAAAGAAAGTTAATGTCTTTTTTCTACTCTCAAGAGCCCTTGTCTTAACATGTTTATGGCACCTTTGGTGGGTGAAGAGAGGTCCTTTGTGACAAAGTGGATGACAGAATTCCTTACATGTATATAGAGCATTGTTTTTTTTTATGGAGCACATTTACGTAAATTACCTCATTTGGAGAACACAGTAACCCTCTACTTGTGTCGAATCAGCCTGTGTGATTTAAAGACTGGATGAAATGGAATCCTTTCAAGGTTCTTTCTGAGTAGCCAGTGATGTACAGTTCAGGATATCTGTCTAACCTTTAAAGATGACAACAAACCAGCTTAATCTAGCATCTTTTTTTAGGGTCACCTAAAAGTTGTGAGTATGTTATTGATCTGTTGTAGCATGGCAATTCTAAACCGAGCGTTCATATAGATAATCAGCATATGTTTAGTGAATAAGTCTTTGCTCTTCTGTTATGGAAACCTGGCTCTGCATGGTCAATTTATTTGGGCTTTACCAGCCAGGAGAGAATTCATGTGTCTATGTCTCTGGACAAGATGTGTAATCACAATAAGAGCTGTACTGAAGGTAAGAATACAGGGTCTACAAGTGAGTGTGTAGAAAGAAGGGAAGATTTGAGTGTAATTGGATGAAGATGGCGGCACTTTTAATGTTGATTAAGCTAGAGATAATCACTGTTTGTATAGTTGGAAGATATTGAAGGAGAAGGAGTTGGGATTTAATATGAAGGATAATGTTTAGATGTATACGTAACATAGGGGTTTTTTTCTTCTTTTTTAATGGACCATGGTTTACTATGGTAGCTGGTTAAAAGCAACTGGAATTTTGAAATATAAACTACTTTGGTTTTATCAGAGTATTTCTTAACAGATGGTTGCCTCCTCTTGTTTTTATTTTGACTTTAAGAAAAACAGTATTTATTTCTTTACTCTTGTTTCCAGTACACTGATATGAAGATGGAGTTATTCTTTAAACACATATTACATTTCCTGCTTATCGCTTGTATTTATGACAGGTGATAGCAATGAAAGCTATTACCAGATTACTACTGAATCTTTTAAGAACAAGCTACACTAATGCTCTCTTCTCTCTCTTAAGATAAAACATTTAATACTTTCATTCTCATGTCTTTATTTGCGTGCACACAAGCAGGGGGGGTGGCAGGCAGGCAGAGAAGCAGGCTCCCTGCTGAGCAAGGAGCATATGAGGGACTTGATCCCAGGACACTGGGATCATGACCTGAGCTGAAGGCAGACGCTTAACCAGCTGAGCCACCCAGGCGCCCCTCATGTCTTCATTTTGAGGCAGCCACCATTTTTAAATTAGAAGGAAGAAAGGAAACTGAGAGGCATCTTTGAGGTCCCACTGCTTCATTTGTAGAAACTTAAGCTTAAAGAAGACAAGTTTACAAAGCTAGTATGTGGGAGAGCTGATGTAAAGCCTAGGTTTAGGGACTTAAAAATCTAAAAAAAGCCAACTGTATTGCCTTTCATTATAGTTGTTCTCTGTGTTATATTTGCTGTCTTCCTGCACAGAAATGCATAGCCTTTTCTTGTAGAGAAGATAGTATCTATTAAAAGATAAATTTTATCGTATATGAAGTTTTTACTAATTGTTTAAAATGCCTTGCCTGAAGGGAAAAGCCCTTGCTTTACATTCCTAAGGCTTAAGAATTATTGTATGCAGTTTGAATTCAGCTTTATTAAGCCATCCAGGTCTCTAGCAAGTTTCCAACTTCCATTGTAAATTCTGGCTATAGGATAGGCTATTGACACATAGGGACTTTGGAAGAAATAAACCAAAGAAATAAAGTGGGCTTTCTCTGAACCATGGATAGTATCTAGAAGACTGCTTATTTAAGTGGATTCTAAATGGAGAGGAGCAGTTTTATTCCTCACAGATTTTAACAGTTGTATCATCATAGTTATGATCTGTCTCAACTTAGGAAGTAATACAAAGGTGTATAGAGGATCTTAAACATGACTAGTGCTTTTCCAGAAAGAGTTTTAAACAAGGAGGGGGTCCCTCAAGAAAGACTGAAGCAAAACAAGAGGCTGTGCTTGGCTCTGTGGACATCAGAATCATTAAGGTATACATAGGAAAGAAAATTTCAATGAGTAATATTTCCAAGTATTAGTTTGATATCTGTTCCGGATTTTGCATGTTAGTTTTTTGTTTTTGTTTTGCCATGTTAGAAGTTAAGCATAGTTTTGTAGCTCTCCAAAATTGTTTTTTTCAAACTGGTTTGGGCTATGACTGGGGGTCCTCCAAATTGAAAACTCATTTTAAAAGGCCACAAACCTAAAGGGTGATTTATAGGTTTGAAAAAATTCAGTGGTTTGATAAATATTGCATTAAAATATGATACTAAGCTGGGAAATGTTGTGAGCCTCAAGAAAAATATAAAAAGTCCCAGTTCCTCATTCCTTAGCAGAAAATTGACAATGTAAGCTCTGATTCATTTGACTTTTGTATTTCTGGATTGGAAGATCAGTACTTTTTTTTTTTTTTTTTTTTTAAGATTTTATTTATTTTTTAGAGAGCGAGCGAGAGAGAAACAGCATGAGAGGGGAGAGGGTCAGAGGGAGAAACAGGCTCCCCACTGAGCCCGGAGCCTGATGTGGGACTCGATCCCAGGACCCTGGGATCATGACCTGAGCCGAAGGCAGACGCTTAACCATCTGAGCCACCCAGGCGCCCCCCTTTTTTTTTTTTTTAAGATTTTATTTATCTGAGAGAGAGAGAGAAACCATGAGCAGGGGGAGGGGCAGAGGGTGAAGCAGACTCCCGACTGAGCAGGGAGCCCATCGCAGGGCTCTGTCCCGGGACTCCAGGATTGCGACCTGAGCCGAAGGCAGACGCTTAACCAACTGAGCCACCCAGGTGCACTGAAGATTAATACTTGAAGGGGAAGGAAATAATAGAAAGTAGTACCCTGGTTTTTCCTTTTGCCTTTTGTTATTATTCCCATAGTTTTGAACTCTACAAACCACTTTGAATTCTTTGCTCCATTCTTACATGGTTACGTTTCTCTAATTTTCTTTTTTCCATCACTTTGAAGGCACATCAAAACCACTGTCATCACAGCAAATTTTTTTTGTTTGTTTTTGAGATAGAAAGCATGCACACTCATGTGCACTCGAATGGGGTGGAGGGGGAGAGAGGATCTCAAGCAGGCTCCATGCTCAGCGCAGAGCCCAGCCTGGGGACTCAGTCTCACAACCCCAAGATCATGACCTGAGCTGAAATCAAGAGTTGGATGCTTAACCAACTGAGCCACCCAGGTGCCCCCATCATAGCAAATTCATATATAGTGCTTATTCTGTGTCAGGCCCTGTTTTATGTGCTTTACTCATCTAATTATTGCAATAACCTCATGAAGCAGGTGCCATTATTTATAAGAATATTTAGGCAGAGATAAGTAGCTTGGAAGATCACAAGTAGTATGTGATGGAACTAGAACTTGAACTTAACAGTTTGGGACCAGGGTTTGTGCTTCTAACACTTACTCTGTACTTCCCTTCAAACATAATTAACACATTTGGTCCTATGTAACACTTGGGTGTAAAGGTTTTGAGGGATATGATTAGACTCCTACACTCTTGTCCAGGCAACTGAACCCAGTCTCCAAACTTCTGGAATAGAACTCTTTATATCACATCAGCTTGTCAAAAATACAGAGTAACCATTTTAGGATTGATAGGAGGGGATCCTTAAAACTTGTGCGTTTTCAATTAATCATACAGTTTTTCTTCTTTATTCTGTTAATATGGTGAAGTACGTTGATTTTCAAGTATCAAACCAATCTTGTATCCTTGGAATAAAATCTACTTACTCATGGTGTATTACCTTTTTAATACATTGCTGGATTTGATTTGCTAATAATTTATTAAAGATTTTTACCTCCATGTTCATGAAGGATTATTGATCTGCGTTTTTCTTTTCTTGTAATGGCTTTGTCTGGATTGGGTATGAGTTGGGATCTGTTTCCTCTTCCTCTTTTTTAAGGGTTTGTGTAGGATTACTACCATTTTTTCTTGTTTGTAGAATTCAATAGTGGAGTCATCTGTACCTGGCATTTGGGGGAGGTAGATTTTAAATTATGAATTAAATTTCCTTAATAGGTATAGGATTATTCAGATTTTCTGTTTTTTCTTGTTCAGCTTTGGTAATTTGTTTTTCAAAAAAATTTGTTTCATCTAAGTTGTTAAATTTATTGGCATAAGGTTGCTTACAATATTTTCTTGTGATATTTGTAGGATCTATAGTGATGTCCTCTCTTTGATTCCTCATAATATTAAATGGTATTTTTTTCTTTTTTTCTTGATCAATCTTGCTAGCTGTTTATTTTTTTTTATTTTTATTTTTTTAATTTTATTTATTTATTCATTAGAGACAGAGAGAGAGAGAGGCAGAGGGAGAAGCAGGCTCCCAAGGAGCAGGGAGCCCAATGCGGGACTCGATCCCAGGACCCTGAGATCATGACCTGAGCCGAAGGCAGACGCTTAACCATCTGAGCCACCCAGGCGCCTGCTAGCTGTTTATTAATTATGTTAATCTTTTCAGAGTATACCAACTTCTGGCTTTATTGATTTTTTTTCTCTATTGGCTGTTTCTAATTCATTGATTTTCACTCTGTTATTTCTTCCCTTCTCACTCTCTACCTCCTATAGTGGAATTTCAGATAATTGATTTTAGGCTTATCTTCATTTCTTTTTTTTTTTTTAATTTTAAATTTTAGATTTTTTTCTCTTTTTTCTTAATTTCTAATAAAAGCAATCAAAGCTATAAATTTGCCTCCATGCATTGCTTTAGCTGCATCCTACAAATTTATGTTATGTTTTCATTTTTATTGTTTTAAAAATATTTTTCTAATGTCTCTTGTGATTTGTTCTTTAATACATGGGTTATTTAGATGCATATTGTATAGTTTCCAGAGATTTGGAGGTTTTCTACATAGTTTTCTGTTAATGATTTTGCTTTAATTCTGTTATGGTCAGAGAGCATACTTTTTACACTTTCAGGGTCTTTTTGTTTTTTGTTTTTCCAGTTTATTGAGACTTGTTTTGTAGCCTAACACAAGTGAGTGTTTATGTGAACTTGACAAAAATGTGTATTGGGTTGAGTGTCAGTTGGAGTTGTTAGTGGTACTCAGGTCTTCTATATCCCTCCTCATTTTCTTTCCTTTTTTTTTTTTTTTTTTTTAAGATTTTATTCATTTATTTGACCGAGAGAGGCACAGTGAGAGAGGGAACACAAGCAGGGGGAGTGGCAGAGGGAGAAGCAGGCTTCCCGCTAAGCAGGGAACCTGATGCGGTGCTCAATCCCAGGACCCTGGGACCATGACCTGAGCCAAAGACAGACGCTTAATGACTCAGCCACCCAGGCGCCCCTCCCTGCTCATTTTCTATTTAATTGTTCTTCAGTTACTGAGAGCAGAGTGTTAAAAGTCTCCAACCTTAATAATGGATTTGTCTATTTCTTGTTTCAGCTCTGTGAGCTTTTGCTACATGTATAGTGAAACTCTGTTATTAGGTGTTACTGTTTTGCTTTCTTGATGAATTGATTTCTTTATTGTTATGAACTGTCCTTCTTTGTCCCTGGTGATAGTCCCTGTTCTGAAGTCTCCTTTGTATAGCCAATCCAGCTTTTTTATGATTGCTGTGTGCATGGTATTTTCTTTCCTCCTTTTACTTTTAACCTGTGACTGGTCACAGGCAGTCCTTGCTTTGTACTTCCTTGGTAACTGAGATTTAATCTCAGTTCTGTTTGTGAAAGCAAGAACTGCCTACAATTTAAAGTTGGTTTCTTGTAGACATTATGTAGTTGGTATGTAGTTGGTCTTGTTGTTCCCCACCACCCTACCCCAGTCTGACCACTCACCCTTTTAAGTGGGATGTTTAAACTATTTATATATATTGTAATTATTTATAAGGATTGTTTCTTTTTGTCTCACCTTTTTGTTCTGTTTTCCTTCTTTTCCTGCCTTTGGATTTGTGCTGCCTTATTATTAGGGCAGTGCAAATATGGAGATTGATTGAATCTCTTTGTTTTACTTTTTAGGAGTTGGTCTATCTAGAGTTTATAGTATGCAACTTCAGCTTTTCACAGTATACTTTCAGTGATATTATACCACTTTGTATAGGATTTAAGAATTTTATAGCAATATACTTACACTCTCCTCTTCCCTTCCTTTGTGCTATTGTTCCCAGGTTTTCTTACAGATGTTATGAATCCCACATACATTGTTACTATTTTTGCTTAGACTAGTCAGAAAAAGTGTCTTTTGTATTTATCCACATATTGACTATTTCTGACACTCTTCATTCCTTTGTGAAGTTTCCGTCTGGTATTATTTCCTTCATAGAGATCAGTTTCTGTAACTCTTTGTGGTAATCTCTTCAGTTCTTGGCAGTTATATTTCCGATTTGAAAAATATCATACTACGTTGAAAATGCCTAGTTTTTATTAATAAGTAGCCAGTATTATGGCTTTTTTGGTTATTTTTAGAAGTTTACCTGTTTTTTGTTGTTATCTTTGTATTTGTTTCTCATTACATTTAGAAACTCCCATTAAGACTGAAGCAGACCTTCTGGTGGAGGATGAGGTTCTTCATAGCAATACTCCTAAGAGACCAAGTCCCAGTGTTAAAGTGACTGCTAGAAAGTATGAGAGCAAAAAGAAAAGTTTTAAAAAGACAAACCCTAAGAGAAAAAAAGATTATCACAACTATCAAACGTTATTTGAACCAAGGACACACCATCCATATCTCCTGGAAATGGTAAATGATTTTTCTTTACATTCTAATCTTTGTGTTCTTCTCAGATGATGAAGATAGAGCCACTGGGTTTCTGCATGGGTTTATACATGCATGTTTTTAAAGTTTACCAGAGACATTTGCTCCTTGAAGACTCATTTGTGTATCTTAATTTTGAAGCTGCATTTGGAATACAGCTGATGTTCAATAAATGTGGAATAGTTACACTTTTCAAAACTGCTGAAAATGAATCTATAGATTTAACTGATTGGTAAGGAAATATGTATTGAGGTGTACTGACGTTTTTAAAGTTTCCATTGAAATCACAACTAAATACAAAGGCAGACTGAAGGGAGAAAGAGGTTTTTATGTGTTTATTTTGTGCATTATTGGCTTTATTCTTAGCATGATGTGCTGAAAACTCTGTTTCTTCAAGTTTTAAAAGAGGAAGCAGCACATCTTTTGATTCTAGGTAATGGACATGAGGCTGTTCAAAGATCCAGTTCTTTCATGCTAAAAGTAATAGAAAATATTCCAAAATTTTTACTAGAGTTGTAGAACTATTGACAATGTGTGTGAAAGTTGTTTTTGCCCTGTCAGCTAAGTGTTTATGCTATAGCTAAAGTATTCTGTGGCTACACTCTTTGAGGTCTTACATGCAGACACAGTTGCTTCTTGTTTAAATTGATCTGAAATGGACTATTTTGTAAATTTCAGTGCTTATATAAAGTAAATTGCATTTTTAAAATACTTGTAAGTGGTAAATTAAATTATCTCTTCACTGAACGTTCATTCCTTTGTAATGTTTCTAAACTACACTAATGACATCAGAAAATAAATTGAGTGATCTTATCCTTTTTGGCAAATCACGTATGATTCCTTGGTTGTGTATTTCTTCTAAATACCAGGGATTTTTAGATTTCCTTCAATTACAATAAGCACAAAAATGAGAAGTTGTGAAAGTCCAGGAATGTTGAGATTTTTTTACTGCTGGTTTCATCATTATTATATTTACTACATCTGCTTATCAGTTTCTGTACTGTTTGTAGGTTTGGGTTTAGGAGGGTCCTCTTTGACATGATTTATAGATTAAAGAATTGCAGACTTTTAAACCTATATTTCCTGTCCTTTGTTAGATACTCCTAGAGAGGACCCCAAATGTGAACATTTGTGCTGTTTAAAAAGCTAGATAGTCTTGGTATAAGTTAAAAGGAAATGTTCTTACATTATTTTTTTAACAAAATAATTTAAATATAGTATCTATTTAAATAGGTATTATATTACAAATTTATTATAAATTATATTATAAGTATATAAATATATATATATATCTTTATTGTTTTGTGTTCTTTATATGGGGAAGACACATATAATATTTTAGATTGTGTTTTTTGGATATATTTTATTTACCAGCTAATCATTTTATTTATTATTTTTTAGCTTTTAGCTCCAGACATTCGACATGAAAGAAATGTGATTCTGCAGTGTGTTCGGTACATCATCAAAAAGGACTTTTTTGGACTTAATACTAATTCTCCAAAAACTAAAGATGTATAAGTATTTGATGTTTCAGCACTCATGTGAAATAGTCCCATCTTAACGTTAGTGGAGGAAAACCTTTTTAAAAAACAAAAAACTGGATTAGTAATTAAATTGTAGACCTCATGGGATATTATGTTGGATTTTTAATTCTTTCCTTTGAATCTATGCAAATAAATACATAACTGATTTTTTAAGACTGTGTCTGTATTGTTGAGGTTGTGCATAGTATTTGCTGGCAGAATTATATTTTTTTATTTATATTTAATTGTATGTATTGCTGTCAGGTAAGGAAATCTGCTCTGGGGACAGTTAAGAATTGAAGATTCTGGTTTAGTAGTAAAGAAAAAAGTTTTAAAAAAATGTTACATTCAGCTGAGCAAAAGTGTAGGTTAGGGAGAGAAGTACAGTCATTTTGTTTTTAATGCAGGAGAGCAAGAATCATTCTTTAACTGTAGCAAGGGGGATTATTATTTTTTTTTTTAATTTAAAGATTTTTATTCATTTATTTAAGAGAGAGAGAGAGAGCACAAGTAAGCAGAGCAGCATCCGGAGGGAGAGGGAGAATCAGGCTCTCCCCTGAGCAGGGAGCCCGATGAGGGGCTCGATCCCAGGACCCTGGGATCATGACCTGAGCTGAAGGCAGCCGCTTAACTGACTGAGCCACCCAGGTGCCCTGGGATTATTTTAAAAATAAACCATATCAAATTAATATACTCAGAAGGTCTTGAAATTTAAAATTTAAATTTTAAAACTTCCCTGTTTATTTCAAAGGACATTTTGAAATTCACCTATTGGCACTAAATAAGTATTTCAAATATTGAATGTTTGGAATATTAATATAGATGGGCCTTTGTGTATGTTTAGATTCACTGAAAGTGCTTCTTTTTGGTATGGTTCAGAATTGGACCTTTTTAATTTTTCTGTTGAAAACTATATAAAGCATGTTACTTGGACTTGATGAAGTCCATCTAATTTATAGTCAAAACAGTAGTTTGTGAAATAATATAAAACCTTAAAACCAGTTTTAAGATTTAATTAAAATTCATCCTATGAGCATATTAATTGAACCCTTTTTAAATGTTTTAAATAAATAGATCTTTTTGAGTCCTTTAATACCAGAGATTTTGATCTTATGTTCTAGTCACTTGTGCTAGCTAGAGCTGGAGCCCTCCCCTTTTGATGGGGTTTTTAAAAATTAGTCTCTTGTAGTTGAAAAATTGACTTTATCTGACATTGTGATTATTGAAGTCCATGAATCTTGCCTGCAAGAAAAAGGCAAGAAAGCTGATGGTGGCCCTGAAGAAAGACCTCTTGCTCCTGTATGTTTGTAAGATCCTATCCAGAATCCTAGAGCACCTGGCATGTAACACTATGATACTACAGACCTGAGATCAAAATTCATATTTAGGTCAGTGTTTCCCAACTTTGTAACCACCATACAGACCTTCTTATTCTGTTTCATTTTCCGCCTCCAGTGAATCCCATGTTTTAGAAAATTATCTGTGCAGCATATTACTTAATTCAGTTTATATAACACTGTTGAGTGCTTACTTATGTGCCGCCATTGTAAGCATGGATTGAAAATATAAAAATGAATGAGGCCTTGCCTGACTTTAAGGAACTCAGTTTAATTTTTATATTATTCATAGCTGTGACTCTTACACCAATTCATCTCATCAGGATGAAGTAACCAGTGTTACAAAACTGGGTTGGTACTCTAAAATATAATTTAGTCTGTAGTTTTATCGTAGGTTGGCATGCAAATTCCATAGACTTTAAATACATAAAGGAATTCAGACTCCTAGGCTGCTTTCACAGACCCCTGTAACTCCAGGAATGTTCACAATCACTGCTTTAAAGTGCATTGTGCAAAAAGTTTTATTTTCAGTTTCTCTTGCTTTCTAATAAACGTATTTAAGACTGAAAATGCTCTTCTGAGTACTGCCTTGGCTATGTCTGGCAGTCTTGAGCTCTGGTGACTGTTTTTTAATTTTTTTATTTATTTCATATTTTTAAATATGTTTATATGTATTTTATATTTTAGAATTATATAATATTATATGATAATATATAATTCTACATTATATAATATAAATTATATTTTATATTTTATTTATATATAAATATATATTTATATATTTTAATATTTTAATATTTTAATTTATTTTTTGTTTCTAAGTGGATAATTTCAGATTCAGTTGCCTTTATATTTAACCCAGGAATTTTTCAAGTGTGTTTAAAATTTCTAAGCACCTAGAATACAGCCCATGTGGTTTCTACTTTATGGAATACATGGTCAATATTTGTAAATACTCTGTGAGTGTTTTTGGGGGGAGGGGTGCCTATTCTTGGATACAAAGTTTTTTAAATTTAGCTTGTTAATTGTTCATATAGTCTACATTCCTGTCTTACTGTTCATATAATGGATTGATTTCTGAATGTGAAAGAGCATTATATGATGACTCATGGTGAGTTGTGCCTTTTATAACTGTGAAATACTCTTATTTGTCCTCAGTACTCTCTGCATTGACCTATTTCCCCCAGTTAATGTAGTCAAAACAGCTTTTTGGGAGTTCAGTGTAGTAGTCTCTGGGGAATTTAATCCATTTATATTAATTGAAATTGTTGAAATGTTTGGACTGTCCCTGCCATCTTATTTTGTATCTTACTTCAGCATTTCAGCAGCATGATTGAGTATTGTTTTTTCTCTTAGTTTTTCTTCCTAGTGCTTTGGAAAGAATTAAACCTATTGCTCTTCCTTTAGTGGTTATTCTTTTCTCTGAGTTTGCAGATACAGTGGCTGTATCTTCCACTCTTCTCCGTTAGCATTCTTGCACTTACCCACCCAGACTTCTCCTTCTGGTGTAATCGTGTGAGATTTGTTTCAGATTAATCTCTGCTATCTTGGTGTATATGTTTGTGTGTGTTTTAACAGTATGTGTAGTTATTTAGACAACTGTAAGTTTTAACTGTTTCCTTCTCACTGCTTTTTCTTTCAAGGTTAGTTTTTTGGTTTACTGCAGCATATCATCAATTAATCATCAAGTTGAATCCTCCACTTGAATTTTTTTTAAATTGAGTTTAGGGTGTTAGGTTCAAAATCCTTTCCCTTCAGAATTTTGAAACCCTAACATGATGGTTTGCTAGCATCCAGTATTGCTGATTTAAAAACCAGACACCAATCTGATTCTCTCACCTTCTCTTTTTATTTATTGATAAAACCCTGTTTTTTCAGGTTTATTGAAAAACTTCTGGGTTTTCTTTTTATGCTTTGAGTCCTAAAAGTTTTACCATTGTGTGTGTAGGTATGTGGGAATTTGTCATACCCCATGGTCCTTTCACTCTGAAGAATTGTACCATTCTTGGATGAAGGACAGTTTCTAAAATGATTTCTTTAATGACTTTCCATTTTATCGGTTTCATTTTTCTGGAACTCTTACTGAGTGAGTGTAGGACCTCTTGCCTTGATCCTCTGTCACTGGACATTTATATTTTTTCTTGGTCTTTTTGCTCTGTTCTGGAAGACTTTTTCAGATGTTATTGTCCAGATCACTGATTCCCTCTTCAGGCATGTCCATTACATTAGTATTTTAGCTTTTCTATTTCATTTTAAGTTTAGTAATTTGTTTTTAAATGTTCAAGATTGCTTTCTTGGTCTCGTTGCTTTATTCATAGATGTGGTACCCTTACATTTCTGGGGATATCAATTGGAATTTTCACATTATTTTCTATTCCTTCAATTACTCATGTTCTGTATTGCCAACTGTTTTAATTTGTTCAATTTACTAATTATCTTTACCACTATTTGTTGTCTTTAAAGGATCATTCTTCTACATGAAAGAGATTCACTTCATTAATGTATTGGTATTGTGGATGTGGATTTTCCCCACATTGGTATCAGCCTTCTTTTCTCTAAAAGACTTTTACCTTGACTGAGAAAAGGGGGCTTGTTCACTCAGTCTTTTTAGAATACATGGATATGGACTGGGCAAGAGATCCAGGCTCTTGTCCCATCCTCACCCCCATCACTGGAGAGTCACCGTCTCTCTCTTTGCCAAAATACAGAGACGGCCTGATTCTGAGGATAGAGCTCTTCTCTCCAGGGCAGAACTCTCCCACTCCCACCAACCACTTGGTTTTGGAGGTGGGCAAGGTTAAGACTTGACAGTTGCAGCTGGAGGCCCCCACCTTTCTGTCACTTGTTGATTCAGGGTATCCTTGGGTTTGCTTTTACCTTTTTGATTGTTGTCTCCTGGGCTGGTTGGGGCTGAGGCTCTCCACTCTTGTTTTTTGTCAGTCTGATCAGCTTTGCAGTGGTTCCCCAACTTCAGTGGACATCAGAATCACCTGAAGGGCTTGTTAAATCCAGATTGCAGGGCCCTACCCCTAAAGATTATAAATAAGGAGGTTGGGCTGTGGCCTGTGAATTTCCATTTCTAACAAGTTTACAGGTGATGCTGATGAGGTTTGTCTGGAGGACCACATTTTAAGAACCACTGTGAGGAACTTAAGAGTTTCTCAAAACCACTGACAGCCCAATATTACCCTTTATTTAGTACTCCCTCCCTGTAGTAAATCTCCAGTTCTTTTTAAAAAAATACCATTTCAAGGAATTTGGAGCATAAGGAGAGGGGTAGTCCACTGTTTTAATCTAGACTTTTAATTTCTTCATTCGTCATATTCCTCAGTTTTAGAGTAAGCCTCTAAAAAAATTTCTCCTTTTCATGGCTTTTCCTTTTTTAAAGATCTTATTTATTTGTGAGAGAGAGAGAAAGGGAGAGCAGGAGCAGGGGGAGAGGTAGAAGCAGACTCTCTGCTGAGCAGAGAGCCCAATGTGGGTCTCAGACGCTTAACTGACTGAGCTACCCAAGCACCCCATTTCCTGTTTATGGCTTTTTAAAAAGCATTTCATTTTGGAAAATGTCAAATCTATGTAAAAGTGTAGAGAGTAATGCAGTGACACCCGTCTTCCCAACTGTCATGCAGCTTCAATACTTTATCATCTGATAGTGGCCAGTCTTATTTTCATCCACACCTCACCTATCCCTCCCCACCCCATCTGAGATTATTTTGAAGCAAATGCCCAGGCATCCTTTTTTTTTTTTTCAAGATTTTATTTATTTATTTGACAGACAGAGACACAGCGAGAGAGGGAACACAAGCAGGGGGAGGGGCAGAGGGAGAAGCAGGCTTCCCGCCGAGCAGGGAGCCCGATGTGGGTCTCGATCCCAGGGCCCTGGGTTATCATGACCTGAGCCAAAGGCAGACGCTTAATGACTGAGCCACCCAGGCATCCCTCAGGCATCCTATTATTTTATTCCTATATATTTCATTATATATCTCTAGAAGGTAAGGACTTAAAAAAATGCCCACCATATCTTTAAAATTAATAATTCCTTAAGCCCATCTACTGTCCAATCAGACAGAGGAAGTTTCTGTCACTTATTAAGATAACATAGTTGAGATCATTCTGTGTATTTCATTTTGTACCTTGTTTATATATCACAAGTGCCAGATTGGAGAAATATATTTTGGACAGATTTAAAATTTGCTCAATTTGCTTATTGTATTTACTACTATTGTCACCTTCCTCTTTTCCATGAAAAAGCAGACATTTAAATTCTGAAATGGACTACGTATCTTCATTTTAAATGCTAAAATGGCAGTGTCAGGCACAGTAGAGCTCACCACTGCTACGGTTTTGAGGCAGAGGAAGATAGGAAAGCCCTGCTGAAGGCATAGACCAGGGCCGGGGCTTTTGCCACATATTTAGTAAGCATTTGAAAGTTGCCCTGCTGACTTTGCCCAGTAACGATTTGCCTGATACACAAGGCTGAAATGGACTGAATGGTCACTCTGGGAGAGGAGAAGCCACTTCGACTATAGTGGAAGCGGGAGCTTCGGAGGACAGACTTGTTCCAGAACAGTCTCCTGTTAGCATAGCTGTGGACTTCTTGGGAGTGGCATAGGAAACGATGATTATTTCAAAACTGGGAGAAGAGAAAACCAGTAAATGTGAGTACATGGAGTAATAGAGAAGACAGATATTCAGAACATACCTGAGTTGAAATTTCCGTTCTTGATCACTGTTGCCTTAGACTGTGTCCCGCAGTGCAGTGCACCCTATGAAACCCTGTGGCTACGGTTTGCAACCCTTTCGGGGTCTTCTGTTGATCTTTTGTACCATTTGACTGGAATGTGTCTTTGTGCACCCCCAGGACAACCTATAATGTCTTCACTTCGGAACTTTTCATAGGTTGAGTGAGGGTTTCCATATTGTGGTTTCCGGCTGTCTTTATCTGACTATTCGAGGGCAATACCACCATTTCCTGGGTCTAGTATTTGCAAACATATAGCATCTATATGTTTTTCTGGTTATTTTTCTGTTTTTATTGAATTTGTAAAGCTAAACTGTAGGCTTTATTTGTGTTTCTCCAGTCCTCCATCATGTCCTTTTTGATGATTGAGTTCAGGATACCACATTGCATGTCTCTCAGTTACCTTGTTGTTCATTTTGTTGTTGTTTTTTTATGACGAGAGTAATACGCTCATTGTAAAAATTCAAATAATCCAGTAGTATATAAAATAAAAAAGTGAGGGGCGCCTGGGTGGCTCAGTCGTTAAGCGTCTGCCTTCGGCTCAGGTCATGATCCCAGGGTCCTGGGATCGAGTCCCACATCGGGCTCCCTGCTCAACAGGAAGCCTGCTTCTCCCTCTCCCACTCCCCCTGCTTGTGTTTCTGCTCTCGCTATCTCTCTCTCTGTCAAATAAATAAATAAAATAAATAAATAAATAAAAAAAATAAAAATAAAAAAGTGAGGTTTGTTTTGCCTTATCCTCTTCTCATCAGATTACCCAGA